TATATATATATATATATATATATATATATATATATATATATAATATATATATATATATATATATATATATATATATATATATATATATACATATATATATATATATATATATATATATATATATATATATATATAATATATATATATGTATATGTATGTATGTATGTATGTTCTTCATATTATACCGCTATGTAGAACTGCGTACCTATCTATTGCACCTTTCATTTATACTCGCTATTCGTCAACACATCCAAATACTATCTATAAAGAACAGGCCCAGCGCAGCGGGAGGTGCACCCTCGCCACACAACGACCCTTTTCTACTTTCCCAACAGTAATTGCCACCTGACACGCACGGCAACCCCCCCCTTCCCCCTCCCCCTCCCCACCCTCCCTCCCTTCCCTTCCCCCCTCCCTCCCTTCGCCCTCCCTTCATCCCTTCCCCCACCCCCTTCCCCCCTCCCTTCACCCCTTTAATCTCCTTTTCCCGCCTCCCACCTGCCCCCCCCCTCCCCCCTAACCTCGAAGTAGTGTTAAGGGTACATAAGACCTTCAGAGGTAGTACTGTTATTGTCATAGTAATTATTCTAATGTACATTTGGCACATGAAAGGGGGGTGGGGGGGAAATATTACTGGTACTACTATTAGAATTATTATATTTTTCTTTATCGCGGTTATCAGCTTCATTATTATTGTTGTTTCTCTTGCTTATTATATTTTTCTTTATTGCGGTTATCAACTTCATTATCATTGTTGTTTCTCTTGCTATTATCACTAAAACTTTTTTCAGTAGTGGCATTAGCTTCATTATCATAATCATCATCATCATCCTTATCATTATTATCATTACAGATATTTTCCATCTCTCATTTATAGTATGATATAATCATAAGGACCCAATCACCAATGTTTCATATATTATGAAAGAAATATTATTGAAATCATTGTTATTAATATTATCATCATCATCATTACTTTTACTTTTATTGCTATCGTTATCATTATTATCATTATCATTTTCATTATTATTATCATTATCATTATTGTTATCATTATGACGATACTTATTATCATCATTGTTATTGTTATTCTTATCATTTATATTACTATCGTTATCATTATTGTTATTTCCATGATTTTTATTTCTTTTCTTATCATTAATGTTATCACTGTTATTATCTTTATCATTATTATCAATATCATCATTATCATTATCATTATTACTGGTATTATTATAATTACTACTACTACTATTACCATCATTATCATTATCATTATTATCATTACTATTAACATTATTTTCACTATCATCATTAGTATTATTATCATTATCATAATCATTATCATCCTTCTTACCCATGTTATTATTCAAAAGTTTGCCTTACGTGAAATCAAGAAAAAATATGAATGAGAATTGATATTATCACATTACAAGATATTAATTTGACCAAATGCAATTGTGTTTTCTCAAAATAAACATGTATTTCGAACGAAGATATAACTGAAACACCGCTATCATCACTTTTATTGATATCATTATAATCAATTTTATTATAGATTTTCTCTCATCATTATTATAATTATCAATTTTATCTGTTACTATCAGTACTACTATTATTATTGTTATCATTGTTATTATAAGTGCTATTATCATTATCATCATCATTATTATCATTATGAATATCATTATTAATACTTTTATCATTGCTATTATTATAATTATTATTATTATTATTATCATCTCATCATCATCATCATCATCATCATCATCATCATCATCATCATCATCATCATCATCATCATCATCATCATCATCATTATCATCATCATCATCATCATCATCATCATCACTATCATTATTATTATCATTATCATTATTATTACCTCCGTCAAGGTTATATTTCTGGTAGCGTTGGATAGTTTGTTTGTTTGATCATTTGTTTCTTTGTTTTGTTTGTGTGTAATTTTCAAATGATTGCATCAGTTACCCCTACTGTCAAGGCCACTCGAAAAGGTATAAACAGATTTTGTGATTTTTTTACAATACGTGTACCTTAAATTTACAGATGCCATTAAATATTGGTGGTGATGTCGATCATAATCCGGATCCAGGATTTTTTTTTAATGGTTGCATCAGCTGTCCGTATTCGCTTGGCAGGAGTAACCGTTATTATTATTATTACCTTTAAATTACCTCCGCTAAGGATGTCATGTTTACGGATGTCATCAGTCATCATGTTCTTATACTTTGCTCTGTCCGGAATGTGTGCATGATGGTAATGAGATTTCTTGCAATCAGTTACTCATGCAGTTGTGATTTTTTTCACGCTGCCTCATTTTGTCTTTCGTTGTTGTTTTTTATTTTCCCTGTCATTGCAAGGTGTCCCAATTTTGTCTTTATCTGTTTTATCTTCCCTGTTGTTACATGGTGTCCCACTTTTGTCTTTGTCTTTTTCCTAACTTCCCTGGTGTCCCAATTTTGTCTTTTTTATCTTCCCTGTTGTTACATGGTGTCCCACTTTTGTCTTTGTCTTTTTTCTAACTTCCCTGGTGTCCCAATTTTGTCTTTTTTTCATCTTCCCTGTTGTTACACGGTGTCCCAATTTTGTCTTTGTCTTTTCCTAACTTCCCTGGTGTCCCACTTTTGTCTTTGTCTTATCTATCTTCCCTGTTGTTAAATGGTATTCCATTATGGAGTCCACATGGAGTCTCATTATGTGACCAAAGAACGTGGTTTCTTCTTTTCTGATGGTTCTACAGAGGGTTCTCTATTTGGGCTGCCCGTATCAATACTTCGTCATGAGTTATCCATTATCCTTCTGAGGAACCACATCGCTGCAACGATGGCACTTGCTCTTGATCGTCCAACTTTCACTGTCATATTTCAGTGACATTCCAGCACTCTTCTCCTTGTTTTAGAAGAGATTGGATAGGTCGTCTAAAGGTCTTTTTTACCTGTGCGAGCTTTATTTTGATTTGTTTAGTGAATCCTCCATTGCTACCAGTTTTAGCCACAGGATATTTGAAGGGATGGGATTCGAAAGCCTCATTCAGCATTTAGGTTTCTCCGGTTTCTTAGAGATGGCCATGTCGATTTCTTTCTTTTTTCTTTTTTTTTATCGTCGTCCAAGTCCAAATTTTCCACTCTGTCTACAATATCGAGCAGCTCCTGTAGATCTTTCTCACCTATTGCGATTAACACATTGTCGTCGGCGTATTATGGATTGATGTTAACACCTCCTACACCGATTCCAGGAGGTCCTTCAAGCTCACGTATTAAGAACAGATCAGGTGACAGGACGCACCCTTAACTCACCCCTCTTCTTATCTCCACCGATTGGACCATCCCACTTACAGGTAG